TTTGAAAAGAATTGGGAAATATGAGAGCACCTGGATGGCTCAGTTGGTTAAACATCAGCCTTCCACTCAGATCATGATCCCAGGGGCCTGGGATGGAGTCCTGGAGTGGGTTCTCTGCTCAGCGGGAGTCTGCCTCTCTCTCTCTCTGCCCCTCCCCGCTGCTTGTGGGCTCTCTCTCACTCTCTCAAATAAATACATAAAATCTTAAAAAAAAAAAAAAAGGATTTGGAAATACGAACAGCAACTGGATATTTGAATACCACTAAGGAAACGATGTTAATTTTTTTAGGTGTGATAATGGCACATAAAGATTATACTGTTAATGTAGTCTGTAGACTCCTGGGGTTCCCAGGATACTAGCAGGAAATCCAGGAGGTCAAGATTATTTTGATAATAATACTTAGACATTACTTTCTTGCAAAAGCAGTTGGAGGGGAGGGGGCTTTCCTGGGGCCACCGCAGGATTGAAGAGAGTGACACCCCACTGAACTAGCCCTCATTGCATTCTGTGCTCTCATGTAATTCTAGAGAAGGAATGCTTGGTTTACTTAAGAATGACCTTAATGGAGCAGTAAACATTATTAATTGTATTAAGTCTCAACCTTCCGAGCATGTCTTGTTTTTGTATTTGTTTTTAAGACTTTATTCATTTATTTGAGAGAGCACAAGCAGGGGGAGCGGCAGGGAGAGGGAGAAGCAGACTCCCTGAGGAGAAAGGAGCCCCACGTGAGACTTAGTCCCAGGACCCTGGGAACCACGACCTCAGCCAAAGGGAGGCACTTAACAACTGAGCCACCCAGGTGCCCCGAATGTGTGTTTTTAATAATCTGATGAAACAAGAACGCACAAGTATTCTGTCCCAGGCAGGGACCTGATGATTGTCTCCAGGAAAATCACTCCTGCAGTCCTTTTTGAGTGGTGAGCTAAACGGGCTGCTTTTCTCATGGAACACCATTTTTACTGGATTGGCTGACAGTCAAACGAAGCCTGAGTGTTTGGCAGACATTTTCTCAGAAATGAATGAAGAGAGCTGTCACTTCAAGGAAAACAACTGACTATATTTGTTGCTCAATGATAAAATGAGCTTTCAAGTGAAGATCAGAGTTTTGGCAAAGACTTGTGTCTGCTTCCGAATACTTAAAGCTTTTCTGATGAGACCGGTGGTGATATTATTGCTGTCCTTTGACACTATGTAATGAAATCTATTAACACTTGAAAGATCTTCATGACTCAGTGAGCCAGTTATTTTTCAAATGCTCATTTTCTCTCTCTCTCAAATAAAACAATAAAATCTTTCAAAAATAAATAAATAACTTATTTATTTATTTATTTGAGAGAGAGAGAGAAAGCACACGTGGTGTGGGGGAGGATCAGAGAGAAGGGGAGGAGCAGACTCCCCACTGAGCAGGAAGCCCAATGCAGGGCTTGGTCCCAGGACCCCAGGATCACTACCTGACCTGAAGGCAGACGCTTAACCAACTGAGCCACTCAGGGGCCCCCAATGGATTTTAATATAACAGAGTACAAAAGTTCATTGATATGCAATGTGGCAACACCTGGATGCCTTCCTTGGCTGAACAGTTGGTTGAATAGTTGCTTCCAGCTGAGGTCATAACTCCAGGGTCCTGGGATCAAGACCCACATCGGGCTCCTTGCTCAGCAGGGAGCCTGCTTGTGAGTGCGCGCGCTCTCTCTCTCTCTCTCTCTCTGACAAATAAATAAAATCTTAAAAAAAAAGCACAAATAAAAATGCAATGTGTTTTCCAAAAAGCATTCTCTACATTTGTCCTTTATTCCTAAGAGGAAATTAATAGAAAATAATGTGGTTTTGAATTTTTCAAGCTCTTCAGAAACAGTCCACACTACACAGTATTCTGTGTTGTTAAGCATAAGGCATAGGAGAAATTATTTTGTGTGTGCATATGGGGGATGGGTTCTTCCCTTTTTGTATATTCCAGTAGTCTTTTCAAAATACACCCAAAAGTTTTTCATTATTTTGTGTAATACATGTTTATATCTATTAGCTATTAATCTGTCTTTTTATTTTATTTTAAAGATTTTATTTATTTATTTGACAGAGATCACAAGTAGGCAAAGAAGCAGACAAAGAGAGAGGAGGAAGCAGGCTCCCTGCCGAGCAGAGAGCCCGATGAGGGGCTCGATCCCAGAACCCTGGGATCATGACCTGAGCCAAAGGCAGAGGCTTTAACCCACTGAGCCACCCAGGCACCCCACCCAGTTTATTTTTTAAAATTCTGATAAAATGTACATAACATAGGGCGCCTGGGTGGCTCAGTGTGTTAAAGCCCCTGTCTTCGGCTCAGGTCATGATCCTGGGGTCCTGGAATCAAGCCCTGCATCAGGCTCTCTGCTCAGCGGGGAGCCTGCTTCCTCCTCCCTCTCTCTCTCTCTTTCTGGCTGACTCTCTGCCTACTTGTGATCTCTGTCAAATAAATAAATAAAATCTTTAAAAAATAAAATATACATAACATGAAATTTACCATTTTAACCATTCCAAGCATACAATTCAGTGGCATTAAACATATTCACAATGTTGTATAGCCACCAGCATTATCTGTTTTTTTTTTAAGATTATTTATTTTTTTGAGAGAGAGAGAGTGTGAGCAGGGCTGGAGGGGCAGAGGGAGAGATAGAGAAGTTCAAGCAGGCTCTGTGCCACCAACCACGACCTGGAGATCATAACCTGAGTGGAAATCCTGAGTCAGGCACTCAACCGACAGCCACCAAAGCACCCCATCACTATCTCTTTTCAGAACTTTTTCATCATCCTACACATTGTCCCCATGCCTCCCTTCCTCTAGGCCTTGGTAATCTCTATTCTACTTTCTCTATGAATTTACTTAGTCTAGATACTTCCTGTAAGTGGAATTACACAATATTGGCTTAAGTCACTTAGCATATCTTCAGTGTTCAGCCATGTTGCACCATGGGTCAGAACTTCATTCTTTTTTTTTTAAGATTTTATTTATTTATTTGACAGAGAGAGATCACAAGTAATCAGAGAGGCAGGCAGAGAGAGAGAGGGGGTGGTGAAGCAGGCTCCTTGCCGAGCAGAGAACACGATGCGGGACTTGATCCCAGGACCCTGAGACCATGACCTGAGCTGAAGGCAGAGGCTTAACCCACTGAGCCACCCAGGTGCCCCTTCATTCTTTTTTTGGCTGAATGATACTGCATCATACATATATACCACATTGATTTATCCATTCTTTTGTTGGTGGGCACTTGGGTTCTTCCTACTGTTTGCCTATTGTGAATACTGCCACTATGAATATTGATGTACAAGTACCTTTTTGAAATCATATATTGTTTTAATTAAAAGCTAGTTGTTACCACCACACACCTATTAGAATGGCCAAAATCCACAACAGTGACAATACCAAATGCTGACAAGGATGTGGAGCAAAGTGAATTCTCATTCACTGCTGGTGGGAATGCAAAATGGCACAGCCACTTTGAAAGACACTTTGACAGTTTCTTACAAAATGAAACAAACTCCTCCCACATGAACTAGCAATTATACTCCTTAGTGCTTACCCAAATAAGTTATTTTGTTTCCACACAACCCTCTGCACATGAATGTTTATAGCAGCTTTATTCCTAATTTTCAAAACTTGGAAGCAACTTGGGACACCTGGGTGGCTTAAAACAAAACAAGACAAAACTTTAAAAAAATGAACTACCAAGCCATGAAAAGATATACAGGAACTTCTAATGCATATTTCTAAGTGCAAGAAGCTAATCTGAAAAGGCTACATTCTATATGATTCCAACTATATTAAACTATGCACATGTAAATATCAGTGTTTTCCAGGGGCTTGGGGAGAAGGAGGAAGGGATGACTAGAAGGAACACAGGGGATGAAAAACTATTCCATATGATGTTATAGTGGTGGATATATGTCATTATGTATAATACTTTATATATACGTATCAAAATCTATAGAATGTACAACATGAAGAGTGAATCCCAAAGTAAACAACAAGAAGAGTGAAACTGTGTCAATGGACATTTCATTATAACAAATTTACCACTGTGGTTAGGGGATGTTGATAGTGGAGGAGACTATGCAGGTTCAGGGGCAAGTGGTGTACAGAAATTCTCTGTACTTTCTCCTCAAATTTTGCTGTGAACATAAATCTGCCCTAAAAAATAAAGACAGAAGAAGCTAGTTGCAGCCTATGATATCTTTATGGCCTTTTTTTTTTTTTGCTTTAAAAAAGAAAAGATTTTATTTTTAAGTAATCTCTGCACCCAACGTGGGGCTTGAACCCATAACCCTGAGATCAAGAGTTGCATGCTTGGCGCCTGGGTGGCTCAGTGGGTTAAGCCTCTGCCTCCAGCTCAGGTCATGATCTCAGGGTCCTGGGATTGAGCCCTGCATTGGGTGGCGGGGAGCCTGCTTCCTCCTCTCTCTCTCTGCCTGCCTCTTTGCCTACTTGTGATCTCTGTCAAATAAATAAAAATAAAATCTTAAAAAAAAAAAAAGTTGCATGCTCCACGGACTGAGCCAGCTAGGCACCCCTGGCCAATTTTATTTTTTAAAAATCACGAAGGTATGAATTTAATGTTACACAAGGCTATCTTTGAAAAATTATAGATGATATTTATTTTACACATATTTTCTAATTAGTTACCATAGATTACCTATGTAATCTTTAGAAGCCAGGTTTTTATATTTTTGGGGAGGTGGTGGTTGTAATTCATAACCCTTTCTGCGGGAAATGAACAGTTCAGGGGGGTGATTACCGCCTCCGCCAGGGATTATCTCCGTCAGGCTCAAGCCACCCGCCAAACTAGAAACCTTCCTTAGGAGTCCCTACAGCGGCACGCCCAAAGACTTATGGGAAATGTAGTCCCGGAATTTGATAAACCACCCCTCAGAGGACCCTGGGACGGCCAGCAGCCCTTGCATCTGCGCATGTGCAATGCTGCGAGCGCGCCGGTGGCTGCCCTTCCCCCACCTCCTGCCGCGAGTGGGTGACAGGGACCCGGTCTCCGCGCGTCTTCGCCGACTCACTCCCTGACCCGGCTAGGCACTGAGCCACAAGTGGAGGCTGTGCCCCTCCAGGTATGAAGGTGGCTCCCACGCAGATCTGCGAGGCCTGGGGGCTGAGGGGAAGGAGTTGAGGGATGGGCTCCTGTCCGCGCGGGGTGGGAGCCCAAACTTCCGCGACTCGAAGGCGGCGACGACCCTCGGGGCGGCGTCGGGGGCTGCCTGGCGTTGTTCTCGGCGCGGGGCTGGCGGGACCCGCCTGGCCGGACGTGCGGGGGCGGAGACGGAGGCTGGGGGGGCGGCGGCGAGGGCTCGCCTTCCTCCCTTTGTCAAAAGAAGCGCCGCCGACCGGCCGCAAGTGTCTTTTGCCGCGCGGGAGCGAGTCCGGAAGCTCGCGCGGGTGCGCGCGTGACCAGTTCCCGGGGACGCGGGGCGAGTCTGGGGGCGGGGGCGGGGCCGGACACACCTGGCGGCTCCGGGAAGGCGCGTGCGGCGTGCAGGAGCCTCCCCAGGTGCGGGGAGGAATGAAAGCCCCGGCAAGTTACCTGAGGCACACGGGGTTCTTAATAAGAGCTCTGACCTCTTAGGAAAAACCTTTTCAGCCAAATCTTCCTCTGATCCTTACACCTGGCCTGCGACGCCGCTAGTATCTCAGCTGCAACCGGAGGAAAAAGGGAGGCTCAGATGGGTGGAAGACCCGAGATCATACAGACAGCCAGTACTTTGTGTAAATGGCACGTGTTTTTTCCATTTGCCTTTTGATTTCACTCACTGATAGTTTTGCCATGCAGGCGTTTTGAATTTCTCTGTTGTTTAATTTACTGCTCTTCCCTTGTATGACGTCCAGAAACCTTCACCACTTTGAGATTATGCAGGTTGACTTATGATTCCCACTGTACTTTAGAATCAGTTGTATTTAAAAAAATCTGTCCGTACTTTTATTATTATCCAATTAATGGCTGCATTTAATGAGGAATGGACTCCTTTATGATACTCCTTTATGATAGGCCTTCCCAGTGTTCAAGTCCTGTTTTGTTTTGTCCCCTTCAGGGCACTTGATAATTACAGTTTGTCGTTTTTTCAGCTTTATTCTTTTTTTTTTTTTTAAGATTTTATTTATTTATTTGACGGAGAGAGAGAGAGAGATCACAAATAGGCAGAGTGGCAGGCAGAGAGAGGGGGAAGCAGGCTCACAGCTGAGCAGAGAACCCGATGCGGGGCTCAATCCTAGGACCCTGAGATCATGACCTGAGCCGAAGGCAGAGGCTTAACCCACTGAGCCACCCAGACGCCCCTTCAGCTTTATTCTTTTTTTTTTTTTTTTAGATTTTATTTATTTATTTGACAGACAGAGATCACAAGTAGGCAGAGAGGCAGGCAGAGAGAGGAGGAAGCAGGCTCCCCGCTGAGCAGAGAGCCCGAGGCGTCCCTTCAGCTTTATTCTTATGTAGTATTTTATTGAAGATGTAATCATTTTTCCATTATTTCATATGTTTTCTCTTGCTTTTGTTCATATTTTCCACTGTTCTTATTTTGTATCTTGGGACTTCTCCCCTTTTTGTTTTTGCCTCCTTTATTATGGTAGCTAATGGTTATTTTTATTATTAATAACTTTAATATCTGTAGCATCTGTAGTAGTGTCTACTCCGTCATTTTTTATCTTGGAAATTGGTGTCCTTTTTTTTTTTTTTTTTTTCTTTTTTTTTTTTTTTGGTAATTGGTTTTTTTTTTTTTTTTTTTTTTTTCACTTTTGGCCAGTTTGCTTAGAGGTTTTTCAATATTATTGATGTTTTCAAATAACCAGCTTTTTGGTTTTATTGAATTTTTCTGTTTTGAGGGTTTTTTTTTTATTTTTTATTTTTTATTTTTTTTAAAGATTTTATTTATTTATTTGTCAGAGAGAGAGGGGGAGAGAGCGAGCACAGGCAGACAGAATGGCAAGCAGAGGCAGAGGGAGAAGCAGGTTCCCTGACGAGCAAGGAGCCCGATGTGGGACTCAATCCCAGGACGCTGGGATCATGACCTGAGCCGAAGGCAGCCGCTTAACCAACTGAGCCACCCAGGCGTCCCTGTTTTGAGGGTTTTTTTAAAATTTCTATGCTTACCTTTATTATTTCCTTTCTTATGTTTGCTTTGGGTTTAATTTCCTTTTTTTTCTGATTTCTTAAGGTGGAAGCTGAGATCATTGATGAGAATCTTTTTTTTTTTTTTTTTAAGATTGATTTATTTATTTATTTGAAAGAGAGGCAGTGAGAGAGAGCATGAGCAAGGAGAAGGTCAGAGGGAGAAGCAGACTTCCCATGGAGCTGGGAGCCCCATGAGGGACTCGATCCCAGGACTCCGGGATCATGACCTGAGCCGAAAGCAGTTGTCCAACCAACTGAGCCACCCAGGCGTCCCTGTTCTTTTCTGATATAAATAGTGTAATGCAGTGGTTTTTAATTTTTTTTAAAATTTTTTAGGATTTTATCTGTCAGAGAGAGAGCATAAGTGGGGAGAGCGGCAGGCAGAGGGAGAAGCAGTCTCTGCTGAGCGAGGAGCCCAATGCAGGACTCTATTCTAGGACCCCAGGATTATGACTGGAGGCGAGGGCAGAGGCTTAATTGACTGAGCCACACAGGTGTCCCTAATGCAATGTTTATAGTTACAGTTTATATAGTTAATAGCTTAATGCTGTATTACTACTTCAGCTATATCCCTCAAATTTTGTTATGTTGTGCTTTCATTTCCATTTAGTTCTTTGGTTTTTTAAGCTTTTCCTTGTGACTTTTCACCCCTTGGCTATTTAGAATTCTGTTTAATTTCCAAGTATTTGGAAGGAAGGAATTTCCAGATCTGTTTCCATTAATTGATTTTTAGTTTAATTCTGTCAAGGAATATACATTGTTACAAATTTCAGTTCTTTAAAACTTGAGGTTTATGGGGTACCTGGGTGGCTCAGTTGGTTGGGCAACTGCCTTCAGCTCAGGTGGTGATCCCGGAGTCCCGGGATTGAGTCCCACATAGGGCTCCCGGCTCCACGGGGAGTCTGATTCTCCCTCTGACCTTCTCCCCTCTCATGTGCTGCTCACTGTCTCTCTCTCAAATAAATAAATAAAATCTTTAAAAAAAAAAAAAAGCTTGAGGTTTGTTTTCTGACCAATCTTAGGAATTTTTAATATGTATTTTAATGACTATTGTGCTGTTGGTGGTAGAGTCTTCTATAAATTTGAAATGGGTCAGGGTGGTTTATAGTATGGTTCAGTTCTTCTGTATCCTACTGGTTTTCTCTCAACCAATTCAGTCACTGAGAAAAGAGTATTGATGTCTCCAACTATAATTATGGATTCATCTATTTTTTCTTTCAGTTCTGTCAGTTTTTGCTTCATGTATTTTGAAGTTGGTAGGGACAATACATTTAGGATTGTTAGGTCTTCTGGTCATTTGACACATTGATCAGGTGTTATCTATCACATCTATCTATTGATCAGGTGATATCTATAATATCACTCTCTGGTAATATTATTTTGAAGCCTACTCCATTTGATATTAATATAATCACTCTAGCTTTTTTTTGATTAGTGTTTACAAAGCATATCTTTTTCATACTTTTACTTTTTTTTTTAAAGATTTTTATTCATTCTAGAGAGGGAGAGAGAATGATCGTGTGGGGGGGAGGGGAAGAATAGGGAGAAGGACAAGCAGACTCTGCTCAGCATGGAGCCGCATGTGGGGCTTCATCTTAGGTCCCCGAGATCGTGACCTGAGCCTAAACTAAGAGTCAGACAAATACACTGTGTCAGTCAAGTGCCCCCATCCTTTTACTTTTGATCTAGCTATGTTTTTATGTTTCAAACTGTGTATCAACAGCACCTAGTTTGGCCTTGATTTTTTTTTTTCCCAGTTGGACAGCCTCTGTCATTTCATTGGTGTATTTATACCAATTATCAGTGTGGTTTGATTAAAACCTACTGTCTTGCTAGTTTTTTCTACTTGTCCTATTTGGTCTTTGTTCCTGTTTTCTTCCTTTTCTACTTTTGGATTAGTGGGTACTTTTATGATTTCATTTTTTTCCTCCACTATTGGCTTATCATTTATATGTCTTTAAAAAAATTTTTTTGTGGTTGCTCTAGAGTTTATAATGTAAATCTGGAGTTAATTCACAGTGGACCTTTAAGTAATATTATACTGCTTTATGTATAAGATCATATATATACTCCCAATTCATCATCCTATCTTTTGTGCTGTTGTCATGTATTTTGCATATGCCATAAGCCCTCGAAACTATTTTTTGACAAATCAGTTATCCTTTAGAGTGATTAAAAGTAAGAAAAAGTTTCCTTTAGAGTCATCTTTATTTTAACTACTCCCAGAGATCTTTATTTCTTTGTGTAGATCTAGGTTTTTGTCTGGTTTTATCATATTCCTTCTACCTGAAGAACTGCTTTAAATATTTTGTGTAGTACAAGTCTACTGGTAATGAGTTCTCTATGTTTTTGTTTGTTAGAAAAGGTTTGGATTTCACTTTCATTTTTTGAAGAATATATTTGCTGCGTATAGAATACTGGGTTGATAGTTGCCCCCCACCCCTTTTAAAGTACTTCACAGATGTCACTGCATTATCTTCTGGCTTGTATAGTTTCTAAGGAAAAATTGGCTGTGACTCTTTATCTTGGTCCTCTATATAATGTGTCAGTTTTCCCTCTGGCTACTTTCAAGACTTTCTCTTTAACCTCAGTTGTCAGTGGTTTGAATATGTTGTGTTGCATATGGTTTGGCTTGCTATTTATCCTATTTGGATAAATTATTTGAGCTTCTTGGATCTGTTGTTGGTATCATTCCTTTTTTTTTGGAGAATTCTCAGTCATTATGTCTTCAAAACTTCTTCTGTCCCATTCTCTCTTCTCCTTTTGGGATTCCAGTGACGTGTTTGTTAGGCTGATTGATACTGTACTACAGCCTTTGGATTCTCTAATTTTTCATTCTGCTTTGTCTTTGTGTTTCATTTGGGTAATTTATTTTTAAAAAGGATTTATTTATTTGAGAGAGAGAGACTGTGAATAGGGGGAGGGCAGAGGGGGAGAGAGAGAGAGAGAGAATCCTAAAGCAGACTCCCTGCTTTATCAAGAGTCAGGAGTCAGCTGCTCAACTTATTGAGCCACCCAAGTACCCCCTTTCTGTCCATTCTGAAGAGACAAGGGACTATCCCAGTAGGTGGTGTTTCCCCCAGTGATGTGTAAAGCTCTATAAACAAGTTATTGTTTGTAGGGATTGTAGGCGTTTGTAGGGATTCCAAGATAGGTCAGATCATTAATAACAATATCTTCCTTTTTCTCTCTTCCAGTTCTGCCTTCATAGTTCCTGGGCTTCACCCAAATACTGCAAAAAATGAACAAATCCCAGGTGAGTTGATTGTTTTTCCCAACTTTATTTTTCAGTGCGTTTGAGGAAGTTTATAAGGACCCAGAGAATGAAATAGAAGGGAAAACATAGTAAGAATGGTTGATCAATACTAGCAGCCAAAAAGCAAACAAGTTGTCTTGAATTGATTATGTGAGTGTTATGTTCTTGGTTCTCTGGTATTAGTTCTGAACAAATTTTATGGACCTTCACGTAAATGGTGTTTTGGACAACATCCCCAGACACCGTGGGTTTATCAGTTTGTCTCTGGTTGTTTTATATTGCATTCTTCACTGCAAATGCAGGGTTTTGTGTGTATTTTATTCTTTCAATCAAATTAGCATGATGCCAAAGAATTCAGTAAATCTCTGGGTGTGTATTTAAATTCTCCACCAGCCTCCACGAGTGCCACTGTCATTACTTTCTTGACTAGCTTTCCAGAGTTTGTATGTACATATTTATACAAGTATAGGTTATTTTAAGATAGCATATTAATCATGCTGGTTTGTTTATATGTGTTTTTTTTTAAAGATTTTTTTTTTTTGAGAGTGTGAGTGAGAGAGGGAACACAATGAGAGGGAGTGGCAGAGGGAGAAGCAGGGTCCACACTACACAGGGAGCCCAATGTGGGGCTCAATCCCAGGACCCCAGGATCATGATCCAAGCTGAAGGCAGATGCTTAACTATCTGAGCCACCCAGGCGCCGTATATGAGTTTTATTTTGTTTTTACTTAATACACTTCAGGGTTTTCTTCTTTTTTTTTTTTTAAAGATTTTATTTATTCATTTGACAGAGAGAGGGGGGTGACACAAGTAGGGAGAGTGGGGAGGAAGAAGCAGGCTTCCCACTGAGCAGGGAGCCCAGTGCAGGGCTTGATCCCAGGATCCTGGGATCATGACCCGAGCCAAAGGCAAATGCTTAATGACTGAGGCACCCCTAGACTTTTAGATTTTTTTAGAGCAGTTTGAATTTACAGAAGATGTGAGCAAAAAGTACAGAGTTCCCATATACTCCTTCACTCCTTCCACACAGTTTACCCTTATTAACATCTTGCATTAATGTGGTATACCTCTTATAATTCATGAGTCAATATGGACACTTCAAAATCTGTAGTTTACATTAGGGTTCATCTTGGTGTTGTACAGTCTACGGATTTTCCCATTATATGACAAGTATTCCCCACTATGGTTTCCTAGAATATTTTCCTGGCCTATCTGTTAATCCTTCTCTCCCTCTCCCTGAGCCCCTGGAAACCACTGATCTTTTTACTGTGTGCATAGTTTTGCCTTTCCCAGGATGTCATATAGTTGGAATCATACAGTATGTAACCATTAGTTTCTTTCACTTAGAAATATGCATTTGAGTTTCCTGTATATCTTTTCATGGCTTGATCATTTCATTTTACCACTGAACAATATTCTGTTTTATGGTTGCACTGACATGTATTTTTCCATTCACCTATTGAATGGTTGCTTCCAAGTTTTGATAGTTATGACAGGTGCTACAAACATTCATTTGCAGGAGATAAAATAACTTGAGTAACTACAGAGGACTGTAATTGCTAGATCATATGGTAAGGGTGTGTTTAGTGCTGTGATAAACTGCCAGAGTGTCTTTCAAAGTGTCTGTGCCATTTAGCATTCCTGTGAGCAGTGAATGAGAATTCCTGTTGCTCCATATCCTTGCCAGCATTTGTTGCTGTCAGGGTTGTGGATTTTGGCCATTCTGATAGGTGTGTAGCAGTATTTCACTGTAATTTGAAATTCCTTTATGACATGATGTTGAGCATGTTTTCCTATGTTTATTCGCCATCTCTATATTTTCCTTGATGAATTGTCTGTGAAGATCTTTGGCCCATTTTTAAATCAGGCTGTTTGCTTTCATATTGTTGATTTTTAAGAGTTCTTTTATAGAATTGGATACCAGTCCCTTTTCAGGTATGTGTTTTGCAAAGATTTTCTCCCTATCTGTGGCTTGTCTTTTCATTCTCTCAATTTTGTATTTTTATCACTCTATAACATGTCTGAGGTCTCCATATCAGAACAGTTTCCTGTTTTTTTAATTGTATAATGTAACATATATACAGAGGAGTGTTTAAAGCTTTGTGAAACTCTTTATATACATTACAACAATGTGTATAATAAATATGTATGCCTTGGGTGCCTGGGTGGCTTAGTTGGCTAAGCGTCTGCCTTCGGCTCAGGTCATGGTGTCAGGGTCCTGGGATCATGTCCCTCATCTGGCTTCTTGCTCAGTGAGGAGCCTGCTTCTCCCTCTCCCTCTCCCTCTGCTGCTCTCCCTGCTTGTGCTCTCTCACTCTCTCTGTCAAATAAATGACTTTTTTTTTTTTTAAGATTTTATTTGTTTAATTGACAGAGAGACACAGAGCACAAGTAAGCAGAGTGGCAGGCAGAGGGAGAGAGAGAAGCAGGCTCTCCGCCGAGCAGGGAGCCCAATGCAGGGCTCGATCCCAGGACCCTGAGATCATGATCCGAGCTGAAGACAGAGGCTTTAACCACTGAGCCACCCAGGCACCCCTGTCAAATAAATGACTTTAAGAAAATAAAAATAAATAAATATGCATGCCTTAATAATAAAATGGGCATCCATGTACCATACCCAAGTTAAGAAACAGAACATTCTCTGGGGTGCCTGACTTATTCATTTAAGTGTCTGCCTTCTGCTCAGGTCTTGATCCCTGGTCCTGGAATCGAGCTCCACATCAGGCTCCGTCCTCAGCAGGGAGCCTGCTTTTCTCTCTCTTTCTGCCCCTCTACCCTGGTGCACATATAGGCACGCTCTCAAATAAAATTTTTAAAAAAGCGAAACATTCTGTGTTCCTTATGATACATTTTCTGATTCAGTCCTCCTAGTAGGTAGCCACTATCTTGATATTTCTGTGAATTCCCCTCCTTTCTCTAAAGATTTTATAGCTTATCTATATATATTCCTAATCAATATAAAATTCAGTTTTGAGAAACTATAACTGGAATTTATATTACTTTGTTTTGCATAATTTTCTTTCTGGTTGGTGGGGTTTTTTCTTTTTCTTCCAGACAATAAGATTTAAAGATGTCCTTTTATGCACCCGTGTTCCCTTTGTCAAGACTTGGGTGTTTTTTGTTTTTTGGGGGTGGTTTAAGAAATTCAATTATTATATAGTATATTATTAGTTTCAGAGGAAGAATACAGTAATTCATGAGTTATGAATAACACCCAGTTCTTATGACATCATGTGCCCTCCTTAATGCCCATCACGCAGTTACTCCATCCCCCAACCCACCTCCCTTCTAGCAACCCTCAGGTTGTTTCCCATAGTTAAGAGTCTCTTATGGTTCTCTCTCTCTCTGGTTTCATCTTACAAAATTTTCCCCTCTCTTCCCCTTCTCCTATGATTCTGCTTTGTTTCTTAAATTCGACATATGAGTGAAATCATGATACCTGTCTTTCTCTGATTGACTTATTTTGCTTAGCATAATATCCTCTAGTTCCATCCACATACAAAGGTTAAGATTTCATGGGTTTTTTTGATGGCTGAGTAATATTCCATTGTATACATGTACCACATCTTTATCCATCTGTTGATGGACATCTGGGCTCTTTCCATAGTTTGGCTATTGTGGACTTTGCTGCTCCAAACATCGGAGTGCAGGTGCCCCTTCAGATCACTACCTTTGTATCTTTTGGGTAAATATGTTTTTTGGTAATCATTGTTTTTTCAAGTTACATTAGCCAGTGTTCACTAGAGAGATGTAACCACTCATGTGTTATTGGTGATAGTCTAAAATGATACAACCTTACTGGGGAGCAATATGGCAAAAATGATTAAGTAAGCATAAGTCTAATTGTATCTAGAAATTTTGCTGTATTGGGTAAAGGTTTCTAGGAGAAAATGAGCTGAATAGAGTCTCTGGGTCATAGTCTTGCTTCAGCTTTTCTGAGAGTTTCCAAAAATCCCATTTGGAGATGTCATTGGCAAGGTCATGAGAAACATAGGAAAACATAGGGCTCACATAGTTGGGCCATCTGGCAGGGTCAAAGTGTGGATCAGGTATAGAATGGTAGAAATATAATTAGAGCAAGTGGGTTGCTCTATATTCTTTATTTCTTAGCTCACTGGGCAACGGCCACCTCTCAGGAGTAGATTACAGCAGAACACAAGAAGTGAGTGTCTTCATCTGATCTAGGGTAGCCTGGTGTGGAGGGGAGAAATAGATGCCATCACTACGTGTTCAAACCAAGTCAAACCACATATGGCTAAGAATCTGGGCCAGGCTCACCCAGGCATTCTACCCTCCGGTTGAAAAGGTGGTACAGTGCGGTAGGCATCTTGTTTATGACAACCCTCAAAATGCTTGCTTTTGAATCAAACTATTACAATCTCTATGACAAGCGGTTTGGTACCAGTAGAGGATCAGTGCCGTCCTGCAGTCTCCTTGAAACTTGGCCTAGCGATTTCCTTCGGCTCTGATATTGATCATTTCTTTGCCCCTTCCCATGTCTTTGTCTTATTTGGGTTACTGTTGTTTTACTGGAATACATTCATTCTCCAGTATCCTCTTAAGAAAGGGTACGTTTTGTAGACTTTGCATTTCTGAAAATGTCTTCCTTCTGTTGTGATACTTGCTTGATAAGATAGTATGAATGTGTATTTGTCCATTTGTTGCTTTAGTTCTCTCTGGTGTTGCTTCTTGTAATTTGAAGCTGTGTTATTGAGTGTGTGTGCATTTATGATTGCTCTGTCTTCCTGGTGGTTTTACCCTTCTGTCATTTTGGAATGCCCTTCTTTATTTGTGGTTATAGAAATACAGCCATACCTGCCTTTTTATGATTAGTGCTTTTGTGTTGTATTTTTTAAGTGGTTTCTGTAGGGATTACAGCTTATATACTTTACTAGTCATCTTGAATTAATATTTTACGACCTGGGGACACCTGGGTGGCTCCGTTGGTTGAGCATCTGCCTTTGGCTCAGGTCACGATCCTGGGATCATGGGATCGAGTC